CTTCATCCCACAGACTGAAAGGTCGCAGGTTTGATTCTGGTCAAGGGCACATACCTTGTTTGCAGGCTCAATCCCTGGCCCCAGTTGGGAGTGTGCGGGAGGTAAACAATCAATGTGTCTCACATTGATGTTTCTCTCTCACTCTGTCTCTCCCCTTCCCGCTTCCACTTTCTCTAAGAATCAATGGAAAACAATATGCTCATGTAAGGATTAACAAAACAATAACAAAAGAGTGACTGTGGTCTGGAATTAGAGATGCTCATCTCTGACCCTTGGGAATGCTGTGGGAGAGCTAGCAGTTGGGTGATGGTGGGAGGAGCTGGAACCAGAGAAGAATTAGCCTATGAGGGAGTTCACAAAGATTCTCAGAGGCACCTGTAAATCCCACACTAAATACCTGGAATGAATCCACTCACTTCCTACCTGTTGTTTCCATAGGTGTCAGTTGGCGAGAGGCTTAAGCAGCTGCAAGATGCCCACAGGGACTTTGGGCCTGGGTCACAGCACTTCCTCTCCAGTACGTGAGACAAACTGGACTTTACTTAGCAGAGCCTCAGCCACCTTCCAGGAGATTCTACTGTTGTCCTTTGGGGACGTAGTGGGATCCCAGTATACCTTGACATTCTAGGCACAGTAAGGATAAAGGAGTGTAGCATAGTGTTTAAAAGCATAAGCTCTCAAATCAGAGAGACCTAGGTCTGAGACACAGCTCCTTGACTTAATAGTATGTAAGCTTGAAAAAAATAGTTTAACCTTTCTGAACCTCAGTTTTCCCGTATATAAAAGGAAGTAAATATATTACCTAACTCACAGGGTTATGGGAATTAATGACTTTATTTTTCAGTAATATTCATTGAGAGCCTACTATGGACCAGGGACTCTTCAAGGCACTGAGACTACATCAGTGAATAAAACAGAGGAAAGTCTTTAGACCTATAGAGCTTAAATTCTAGTGAGGGAAGCCAGACCATAAACAAATAAGTAAAAACATACGAGGCAAATTGGTGACAAGTGCTATGGGAAAAAGTGAAGCAGCTAAGGGATGAATAGGAAGTGATGAACTTAAAGCGGGGGAGGCATTGCAATTCTAAATAGAGTGGTCAGGAAAGGCCTCACTGAGAGTATGGCGATGAAGAGGAAACCTCAGGGAAGTAAGGGAATGAACCATGTGGATGTCTGAGGGAAGAGCATACCAGGGAAAGGAAACAGCAACTGCCAGGACCTTAAGACAGGGGCATGCCTAAGTGTCAGCAAGGAAGCTGGTGTAGAAGTGAGCAAGGGAGAGAGTGGGAAGTCAGAGTGGTGGCAAGAGGCCAGAATACAGAAGGCCTTGTAGATTAGGGTAAGAACTTGGGATTTTATTCTAAATGGAATGCAGAACCTTGGAGGAGTTTGAGCAGAAGGATGACATGATCTGACTTATGTTTCAACAGAGTCAGAGTGTTGGGGACTGAGAGTAGGAACAGGGAGACTTCTTAAGCATATTGGAATAATCCAGGTGAGGGATTATAGTGACTCAGATCAGAATGGTAGCGGTGGAGATGGTGTCAATACAGATATGAAAATTAGATATGTACACAAAGCATTTAGAAGAGTATCTAGCACATAGTAGGAACTCAATAAATGTTAATGTCAGAACTATTGCTATTACAATCACTTGTGTGTAGTTATACCTGCAGAGGGCTCTTGTACTCAGGGAAATAGCAATGAGGAGGTTGGTCAGGTAACAGCCTCTCCTGAAAAATCAGAAGATAAAGACATGGAGCAGAGAGGGACATTCTTTAAAGAGTTCCTCACCATAAAGAAATGGACAGTACCATTCCCTATTGTTCCACAGGACTGAGTACCTTGACCTTCTTGGGGAAGGGTTTTGAGCCCCAGGAGGAATGTAGATTCCACTTCATATCCATAGGAGCACACCAGCTGCCTGTAGCTGAATGGATAGAAATGCCAGTCTGGTCGGGGAGAAGATTTTTAGGGTAACCAAAGTCAAGTATTCCAGTTCATGCCCTTGCCATGTCTTTGGCATATGAGGATATCAGTGTCAACCTTCTCCTTTCGTTGCCCTAAGATCAAGGAGAGAAGTGTGTTTATTAGTTGCCCCACCCTGAGGGCCTGTTAAGACCTGGCAATGAGAGTCAAGCATTCCCTTTGGGGCTTGACCTCTCCTTGGGATGACAGAGCAGGGGTGTCTCTATGGGCCTGAAGAGCATTGGTGACCAGCTTCTTTCTCTTCCTCTTCTTCCTTACCAGCCTCTGTCCAGGTTCCCTGGGAAAGAGCAATTTCACCCAATAGAGTTCCCTACTATATCAAGTGAGTGACCGTCTGAATCAGAAGTGGCTCAGTTACCTGCCCACCCGCTCCCTCGCCTGTCTTTTTCTCTACCTGTCCCTGTCACTCCTTATCTGTTTGAATTCCTTTATCCAGTCCAGTTTTTCCTCCTGCTCATCTCAAGAGCTCAAGATTCTACCTGGGTAAAGGTGATCCCTTGTGCTTTGGGATCTTCAGGGTTCAACCCTGGATCCTGCAGCTCCTTGCATCCAACCTATCGCTGAGTGGTGTGTGCATGTGTGAGGCGGGTGAGGGGTGGTGTGGCCCCTGGTGCTATTGATGCTTTTGTTTGTAGCCACCAGGCTCAGACCACATGCTGGGACCATCCCAAGATGACCGAGTTATACCAAACCCTGGGTAAGAATTCAGGGGTCCTGTATTGGGTGGATATTCAGCTGTCTTTGTTCTAGAAGAACAGAAGGGAATCCCGTTCAACAAGCAGGTGGGGATGGAAGTGAGTGCCTTGTCCTTTCTCCAGCAGCCTCCTTTCATTTCCCCTCTGCACCTCCCTCAACTGGAGGCTCTACATTCACCCTGGACCACTTTATTATCACATTAAAAAATTATGCTTGTAGACGTAAACCAGATCTGTTTTGAAAGGCAATTCCCAGGTGTAATGAATGTGACTCTCATGTGCCTTACCTTTGCTACTAACAGAGACTCACCATTAGGCTGCAAATTTTATTCATGTTGATGTATGTGAATTTAGTTCATTTATTTAACTGCTAGAGTGTCCCATTGTATACACCACAGTTTCTTTATCTAGTCTATTTTTGATAGACATTTGGCTTGTTTACGGTTTGGAGTTAATAAGAACAGTGCTGCTGAAGAGCTCTTGTGAATGTCTTCTGGTACACATATGTGTGTTTTTCAGACTACAGGTTTAATATTGTTTCAGTGTTATGACAAGCATTTTAAAAATTGAAACAAACTAGGAAATATGAAAGAAAGTGCTACAAATCTTTAATAAGAGTCTTATTTGATATTAATTTTATGTTTTTACTTTGTAAAATCTAGTAAGGTATTATTTCCTGAAATGTTTGGTTCAGTTGTTTATACATACTCACATGAATGTAGATATATTGGATCATGATGTAAAATGAATTTCTTACTGTGTGTCTTGGGCAAAAAACACTTGAAAATCACTGATCTGGATATATAACAGGCTGGGTTGTAGGAGACCTGAACGTTCAATTTTACTGGCTAATACCA